GGGGTTGGGTTTTCGTCGCTTGGCAACGAAGTTGTAAAACAAGCCCCCCCCTCGGTGTTTGCCATCGGGATTGGGTTTTCGTCGCTTGGCAACGACGTTGTGAAAAAGCCAACTAACTTCGTGCACTCAGGGAAGACCACTCTGACTCTCGAAATCATGGACTCGAGTCCGTGTGGAGGTGCCGTTTTTTTCCAAGACATTTTTGTTTTCGGAGTCCATCACATTGATTGGCGCCCCCCACACCTCAATCAATATATTGTAATACTGCTGTGTCGAAAACGGGCCAATGGTAGCAACGCACGAGCCTACTGCAGGTACGTTTTTGAACAAAAAACTATTCCACCTCCCGATCTGGTAGTATTTTTGGTTGCAAAGCTCAATCAGTAGTCTACGCAGCAAATTTGATGAAGCAAACATAAGGGACAAAGTATTCAATCCGTGCTGAAGGGTTAAGGATAGGGTTCGGGATAGGGTCTGCGTGCCCCCTCCCTATTTCTTTTCTAGATACTCTTACAATCCTACGTAGGCGGGCCAGCTCAATGGTTAAAGTGTGACTTCAATCTGTCCATAATCCATCGACAGGGGTCTCTCTGGTTGTGAAAAGATGCTTCCAAATTATTTCATATATATTTGTGCATTCAAATGCTATCAATACTTCAGCGTGCTTTCAATACATCAAACCTATCCTGAATCTATCTCTACTGTCTCGTAAGTGTGCTTTCAAGTGCTTTCCAATTGAAAATGAGCATTCAAATATTCAAAAAGTATATATGTATCCTATGTAGCCATGAGACTGAACCCTTCGGCACACACGGAGAGACTAGTCCACAAAACTTATTTTTTCCGCGTTTTTTTCTACGGTACCGCCCAAAATAACTTGTAAAAGCGTCCGGATTTAACTCGTACTGTAACCGTATTGTGCATGCGATACGCTAGCTGGCATCGACCGCCACCAACGCCGGCTGCCGCATGTGGAAGAACCGCAGAGTCTTTGTGAACAAAGCAAAAACCGGAAGGACTGCGTCATCCATGGGACACCCACGCAGGCAAGGGCACGGAGGATACTTGCCGTAAGGGTTCAGGCTGCTGCTTGTAACAGGAAATGGCCACGACCCCACAAACAGGTAATACTAAACCTGGATTCCCTGCGGTGCCAGCATCAATACAACACTGCTGTGCCAGCATCAATACAACCGAATTTATTTACGCCATGCTTGCCGAACCTCCTTCCGCCTATTGGGCTCGATCCTGTTTACTTCCGGCCCGAAGGGTCGTGAGTGGAAAACTAACGTATCAGTCTCGGCATAGCGCAAATTCTGGCAAGGTTTGACAGCGATCGACCGGTCGACCAGTGACAGAACGTCATCTCAGCAGGGCTTTCGTTTAGCGCGCGTGTGCGTGACATCTTTGATCTACGGCACGCATCCCGACTCTCAGCTTGGGACAAGCTTGGATTCGTCAAGTACGGTACTGCACAAGTGTGCATGTGGAAATGATAACTTTTGGCTCATCAGAAGACGCCCTCCCCCCCTACCACCATTGCGAAACACGGAGCACCCACCTCCAGGTGGAGACCGAAACCAAGGGCGCGTAGGTTTTGCAATCTTGTCGCGTCGGCATGCATCGCTTCCACTCGCATCTGTGCCATGCGCTTGACCTCTGTCGATCGCGAAAGGGACAAACGTCGAGCCCCGCGCGTCGAAAGAGAGACAAGTTCATGAAACGATTTTGTGATTGTTTTTAGTGAATATATATGGTGCGCGTGGAGAGAGCATGCTCCAGTGACGACATTTCGAACGAAGGTCTTCGCTGAATCAGAGTAAACAAACGTGATCGACGCGTAGGAACTGTTCTCCAAAAGGTTGATTGAATGCGGAACGATGGCAGTTGTCTCACACCTGCTGCAACAACAAGGCAAGACGCGAAAAAAACAATATGGAACGTTTCAAGGAGCCCTGGCTGATGATGGCCAGCTCGTGAACGGCGCAGAAAGCCGTGACTTCCCTCTTTACCTGCTGGCAGGGTTTCGGAAGGGGTTTGCAGCAGCTGGATGTTCGTACTGGTATCTACTGCCGAACAGCCAGTTCCGCACCTGGGTCATCCAGCAGGTAGTCCAAATCATCGTCGTCATCGTCATCGTCATCGTTGCTGTCGACTCTACTGTTGTTGTTGTGGCCCTCGACTATTCCATCTCCGTACCCCGCCCCACCAGCCGCGCCGTCATTGTGAGAATCTGAGCGAGACGGGACAAGGTCAGACAGGACACCATAGGTCCCCTTAACAATCGTGTAGGGCCCACGTCAACGGCAGCTACTGTACCTTCGCCATCGTTTAGGCGAAGCTCCCACCGTCACCCGGCCCAAGCGATGTCGCTAGCCAGACCCACAAACGACAGGGGGCTACGCGGTATGCGTGGCGTCCTCGCAGGGGGGGGTGCGAAGTCATCGCGAGAGACAGAAATATTTGCCACATTTCTCAGCACCAAGTCGACAGCCCCTAATATCCGACGCGCTCTGCTCCATTCATCGCTACAAGCGCAGCAACATTTGAGGAGGCCATGCATGCCTTGCGTGTCAAACAAAATCTCCACGTCCTCACCTTGCGCAGCGGCCGCGGCGGCGGCGGCCCTTGCCTCTCTCAACGCCGGGTAGTCACCCCCGCCACCGTGGGAAGCCGGCGGCCCAGCCAACCCCGAGGAAAATGTCGCCTTCCTCGCTCGCTCTGCGATTTGGCTGGGGTCCACCTTGTCCAGAGCCGACCGGAGCTTTAACGCTCTGGGCGCCAGAGAGAGGGAGGGCGTTGATGTGTAAGTTGGGGTGTAAGCGGTGGAAAAGGGGCGTCTGGGTTCTACTGCCTCGAAGGTTGACTGTTGTTGCGGCCTCTCATGTATCATCGTCCTGCAATCCTGTCGGGAACGACACCAATCTTCCTGTGGACACTGCTGCTGCACCCGTGGGACCTTCACTACTAGGTTCGTTGGTTGGAAAGGAGACCGGGAGGACGTCCCGTGGGTCGACGACCTGTAACCCTGTAGCGATGCACCTTCGCGCGACGTCCTGGTGGAATCTGGTTTTCAGCTTGCTAGAGGATGTACACATCATCTCGAGTTTCGTTATTGTTTGTCTAACAGGTTTACATGTAGAATAAGTTCTATCAGTTCTTTGTGCTGGACGGAGACAGGTCAAAAATTACGCAAGTGAGAAGGCCCCTTGATCAAAAGACTGAGAGAAAACGCCAGCCTAGCCGTATGCATATTATAGCCGACACGCCCAGTGCTTCTAGAAAGACTCGACACATGGCCACGGGTATAAAAGAGTGGTAGACTATTGACACGTACCTCGTAGACTATGACCTAAGCGAGCGTACAAGTAGTCTACAGGTACACGTAGATCACGGAGGCCTCACCTAGCCTTGGCTTCGCTGTCCTTTTGACAACAAGGGTGCGTCTCTTCCAGGAATTCATGGAAGTCCTCCTCGCCATCGGCATGGCCCGAGATCCCATGGTCGTGGTTACAGGTGTCATCTCCGCAGTGGCTGTGCTGATGACTCGTCATATCATTGGTAGCTGTGTGGCGAGAGCGGGCGAGCGAGCAACGAGGGGAAGTGCGGATCATGGGATGCGCGGCTTCAAAATTGAAAAAATGGGTTTGGTGGTTACATTGGTAGCGTTCCTTCACGGTGGTGGTGCTGCATGCATCGACACTGCTGCTCCCATTCGGGCCAATGATGGCTGGCGACTGAGGGCCGTACGCCCCGAATCAGGCTCCCTCAAGGAGCACCAACGCCAGTGGTAGGTTGAAAGGTGAACGAACGAACGGACGCCTTGTACAGTCCACTACCTTGCTGCTCTGTCCGAGAAACTTCGTCAATACGACAAGTTCGAACTCCACGCAAGTGGCTCCTCACTGGACTGTTCGTGTCGCCCAACCAACAGGCTTCTCGACAGCGCCAACGGCAAGCGGGCAGAAAGAGAGGAGATGAGGCCGACAAAACTTGGCTAGAGGTACCGACGTGATGGGAAATCTCCTCTACAGTCCACTACGCGGCCACGCGACACCGCCATCGGCCTTCTCCGCCGTCGTGCCCCGAGGGCTTCCAGCGTTCGTCTCATCAAGCGTCCAGGTGCCGCCGGCACTGCTGTTGTTGCATCCGGCGTCTACATCTAAGTCACCTCCTCGATATCATCCTCCGATTCGGAGCAGTGTCTCGCGCGGAGGGTGTGGTGGAGTCAGGAGGGGATTTGCTTGCAGGAGGAAACTTCTTCGTCGTGCCTCAGCAGACCAATCGTTGTTGCTGTGTTCACTCACCACGGAGGTGAGTGAGAAGTGTTTGCGGCCGTGATGATCGGCCACGGCTACAGTAAGGTGTGTTGAGTACGTTCACCGTCTCCACGACCCATGTGATCATCACGAAGGGTACCAGACCGTGGCCGCAAGTAAATTGGCATCTTCTTATTTGTGAAGCCGTGTACTTGTTGTTTCTCACATTAGCTCTAAAAAAGAGAGATTGGGAGCCCGTGGTCTCAANAAAAAAGAAAGATTGGGAGCCCGTGGTCTCAAAACCCGGCATACACGACCCCACGAAGAAACAGAAAAAAATAGGGTACAAAAACCACTCGGAAGAGAAACAAAATGATAGACAGAAAGACCAGCTACCGCACCAAACGAGAAAGAGCGTCGAGACCGATCAAAATAAAATAAAAGGAGAACGGGGAACGCTTCCCACACCCGCCTACAACGCCGGAGGGTTCCGTGCCGGGTTCCTGCCGACCAGGCATCCCCCGCCCTGCAGGAGAGTGTATCACTTGAGGGCATACGCTGCTGCGGACCTCCGGTATCACCACCACCCTTCTGCTGCTGCTGTGTGCATACATGTACCAGGGGTACTGTAGTTGAATTCGTAGGGCAAACCGAACCACAGCATTGCCGTAGCCAGGATATTCCGCACGATCGTTCATCTTCATACCGACTAACATATTTCACCATGTCTGACGTTGGATTGCTGCCTTACTGATTTGTGATGCACCCGAAGCGTGCTGCTCGTGCTACTCCTTTTCCATCTCTCCGAAACAAACGTACCCCCGCCATGTCCGGTTGGCTTGATTCCGATCAGGCTTCCGATCAGGCTGCCAGCCCGTGCCCGGAAAATCCACGCTCTCCGCGGCAAGAGAGGGACAACCGTGGCGACGCCATAGCGCAGGCCACTCTGCGCTGGATCCGCTCCACCGTAGTAGGGCTAAACCTCTGCCCGTGGGCAGCCGGCGCCCTTGTAGGCGGACAACTGCGAGTCCTTGTACACCCGGCGCAGCCGCCTCTGCCAGCCGCTACCGACTACCACGAACGCCCCCCTGGTAGTGATGTCGCCGGCGGCGTGACCGGGGACTCCGGCTCAAGCAGCGATGGGGTTGATCTGTTGGAGGGCTTCGTGAAGGTGGCCGCGCGAGAGGCGGTGGCGCTGAGCGCTCTGGGCGGGGAGGTCGCTGCTAACGCCACGACGCTGGTCGTAGCGAGGCCGCCGCTAGCGCAAGGCTTTGAGGAGTTTCTTTCCGTGGCCGGGGCCGTGGACGAATTCATTGACGAATCGGGTATGCGGGGCAAGGTCCAGGTGAAGGATGTATTTATTTATTTTTTTGCTCCTCGTCCTGTGCGTTCTATGTAGTACAAATCACATGTGCCGTATGTTCCATGTGTTGATCCGCCTTTTTCTTCATTAAAGCGGATGTGGCCAAGGCGGTGGTGGGCGGGCACAAGTTGGTGTCATCGCCGGCTGTGTTTGTGCTCTCGATCTACTGAACTACTTTCTAGCAGCTCCGGCTTCATCTAAGATCTCATCTGTGTTGTTTCGAAAACGACTGCTCCACCGGTCGCAATGACCCCCTTGCTCCCACGGGAAGCATCGCATCCGTGCCTACCGTAAGTTGTTCGTGGGGGGCAACATCTGACGCACGTACCAATACCAAGGCTTAAATCTTCCCGCCTTGACTGCTAACTGCCCATAGTAGCACATGACTGTTTCTGCTTTCCGAATTCTCCGGAAGACTTCTTGTACGAATGATTTGGGGGTTATATGCGCTTGGTACAGGCTATAATAGTCACGCTCGTCCTCGATATCCTTCTCTTGAGCGGCTTCGGTTCCATCCTCACTTGTCGTAGACTTCCTGTATGTCGCCCTCAAACCCCACCACCATATTCTTCGTTGTCCATACGGCACAACGAGGTTTTTACCCGAAACTTTTATTCTAGAAGCACTTGACGGGTTGCTGCGCTGAGTAGCCTCTCATAGGACTGAAGTGAGCCATGCATCCTACCATAGCTTTGTTCCAGAATGGAGTGGGCACCTGCTAGGTCTAGGAAATAGAACGGCGCACGACAAACGGTCAAGTGTAGGCAGCCGCGTCCTTCTGCTGGACCCATCGTCTGACAGCTCCTTCGTACTGCGATGCACAACTGCGCGTACCCCACCCCCCTCGCCACCATTTTTTTTCCGATCGTGTTGGACGCCCCCACATGCATGAAGCTGGCGACGTTTCACCCTCAGTACCGGTTCGAGGGCTCTGAGGAGGATGACGCGTCCAACTACACAAATCGATCCCCTTACCCCGTGCTGCACCTTCTACTGGAAGACCAGGTACGGGTGGTTCCCCTCCCAAGGTGACGCAAACCCCTCTTTGGCCTTGTTCTAGCGGTTGGTCTTGCGAGTGTCAGAAGTCGTGCGTTCTGTGTTGATTGTTTTGTGCGTGTATGGAATAGCTCGTGGGCACTATTTCTGCACGAGAGAGAAAAAAAAAGTCCTACGAGTGCGCAATCATGTGAGGTGTACGCGTGGGGGTGCCCGGAGGAGGGCGGAAAGCTACAAGGACTAGCCGTGGACACATCTGGTTCGTGTTAGCACATCCCTGTCCTAAACGATACCGCCCGGATGGTGCCATGAGCAAGGGGTCAAATCGCGAGTTTTTTTTGTTATGGGCACAGTCCCGGGGGGGGGATGTCGACCGCTCTGACGCTCTTGGGGTCTGTGCTATCATAGGGGTAAGAGCCAACGACCCCCCGTCTCCAGAAAGAGGCATGAAAGGGCATACGAGTTTCCCACTTCCTCTACCACGCACGCCCCCCGGTGTTTGCCATCGGAGTTGGGTTTTCGTCGCTTGGCAACGACCTTGTAAAAGAAGCCGCGTGAGCTCGACAAGCAGGTTACCGGGGGGGGGTTCCTACGTTGTTTTTTTGCCGAAGCCGTAGTGGTGGTCGAGTGTTAATAGATCATGTTGTGCGGGGTCGAGAACCCTCACTCCGCTCGAAAGGGGATGATCGCACCACGTTGTGTCAATATGGTCAAGCACCCTCGAGGCAGTCGCACAGTGCTTACAACTGTCTCAGGAAGTGAAAGCACCAGAAAATAAATCAAGTCATACGCAGCTGTCATCCGTACGCAAGGAAGTAAGCACAAGATGCCGAACACCCTTAGCAGGATACAGCGCACCCTTCACACGGCTCGCCGAATACCTCACATCGCTGCGCGCTTGGTCATGTGAGAGCCTGATCCGGTGAGAAACCGGCGTGCTCCGTCCCGGCTTCGTAGGGATGCGAGATCGATGGCCAAACGACTACGGCATGCACGACGATGAGTGCCCCCCTCTACCACACTTCTGCGGTTGCCCCCCGACACCCTCATTTACTCTAAGAGGCTTCTAAGCGCGTGAAGCTTTTCACTTCGGTACATCAGAGGAGGGTTCTGGTTAAATCGCGTCAGCCCGTGTGTCCTTCCCCCCGTCGCCCGCCCTCATGTTTTGCGGAACTCCACACTTGACGCACAGGTGTCTGCGGCGGTCAAGCAGATCAGCGACCCGGCTAAGGTGTGGGAGAGGAACGTCGAAACCACGAGGAAGCTTGGCGTGGAAGCCATGCGTCGTGGGGTAGAGGCGTGCCTTTTGCCCTCCTGGCCACCGCAGCAGACGCCGAAGGAAGCAAAAACAGACCTGGAGGAGAGGAACGAGCGATGATGGCGTTCTCTTGCAATTGCGTCTCAAACCCATTTTTCTTTGTGCATGTGCGGCGGATCCGTTGCACGTCGGTTTCATCCTGTAAGGGGAGGCGAGTCATCGCTGCTGTAGACTGTTGGTCGATGGAGCGGGCAGGTAGATCGCCCGCCCTTTCGACTCGCCGCGACGTAGGCCCTAAACAGAGTCGTGGCAAAGAGGGTGCCTTGTAAGAGGCAGCTCCGATGTGAGAGGGTTCGAATCGATTGCCGTGGACTCGACCTGCTTCGCATACACAGATGGGGTACACTACCCTCTTTTTCCCGTACAAGAGAGGTTTCCGATTCAAGAGGGTCGAATCTAAGGCCGTTGTCACGCCACCTTCTTATCTCGAAGCCACGACTGTAGATTGCTGTGAAACAAGGCTGCTGGAAAAAGTCGGCCCCCAACTCTTTCGTCACCACTGGTGCACAGTTTGATGCATGCATGATGCTATGGGCCCCAACGAACTCCACGGCGTGCCTGGAATTTGTTTCTGGAGGAGCTTGTAATTGGTTCTCGATATTTGATCACACGCTACAGCTCAGGGTCTTGCTGAGAAAAATAAGTAAAAAGGGAATTGGTTAATTATTTCCGACAGTCAACCACTTCCATGGTGCTTCGGACATGGCGGCCTTGTCGGCCAAGCCGACCCGACGCTACACCAGCCGCACGCGATTGTCAACGCCGACTGGTATAGGAGGTTTGGACACTCTTAGCCTCGCGACGTCGGACCGTGTTCTGACCCTGACACCCTAACGCTGTGGGTGTTCTTGCGAAGCAGAAGTGTCAGAAGATAGAAATACAAATCTCAAGGGTTGTGGCGTGTGAAGCACACGCTCACGTGAGGACGTTGTGCACCTGATTTTTTTTGTTTTTGTAGGCAGAAGGGCGCAGTACCAAAATGTACCAATACCAAAATGTACCATGCATAGTGACACGCAAGATCTTTCTGCGGGGGCACACGGACAGGAACACCAAAAGCTAGCACCGTGTGGGTTTGTGTTAGTGAACAAAGAAGTCAGCAACGACACCGCTTGCACATGAGAGGCAGTGCTTGAAAATTCCTTCAGCCATGACACACATATAATTTTCACGTATTTCTTTTCTTCACTCCCACCGCGCACATCAACCACTGGCGTAAATACTTGAATGTCTTGACTTTTTCCTCCCGGGAAGCCCTACCCGATGTTTCGCCCCGTCCGATAGACGCAGGTTACCTTTGGACCCGCATTGGGCAAAACGCGCACAATTTGGCCAGCGAAACATCGTGCCAAAGACACAAGGGTACGAACGAGACACATCAATCGTACGTGACATGTTATGAATGGACATTAATTAATTCGCTCACGAATATATGGTGTTTCTACGCGCCGACCGGCGGGTGGAGAGTAACCATCGAAATCAGGCGTTTGCATCACAGCAATGGAAGCAACCACAAAGTAAAATAAAGTACACAAAACCTTTGACTGTGTCTCTGCGCGACGATGGTCGGGCACAAGATAATGCATATACCCATGGGGAAAAGATTCCAAGCTACCTTGCCAAATCGCTCCGTGTCGACTACGAGGAACCTGTAGACACACACCCAACACAGCAAAACCATCGTTTGTTGCAACCCGCTTGTCGTCGTCCTTCTCCATTTGAACACGTCTCGTCCTTCTTGGACTCCCACCGCACAATTGCATCAGTGCCGACGGCTTCCAACTGTCAAAATCAACTACACGGGGAGAACGGGTAGCTCCACAACTATGAAGTCGGCAACATAGAAGCTCTACAAGCACACAAATCACCACAATAGCGCCCCTCCCCTAAAGGGGCTGCTACGCCGCTCCATCCGCGTAGGGCGCAGAGAAAAGAAGAAAAGACAACAGAAAACACGCAACACCGCCAGCAGCAGCGACTAACAACAAAGCAGAGGGGGGAAAAAAACAGTGAATGATGGTTACCCCGGCTAGGCACTTAACTCTTAGCCCGCTTTGTGAACTGAACATCTCGCCCCGAGGGTGGTTTGGTGTACCCAGTAGACAAATCGCGACTCTACGGAGGGGGGTGTCCCGCCCATTTCCCCCCAACTACACGCACACCGCCCTCTCCCCTTCTGCGACAGTCTTGTCTCTTGTCCGTCTTCCCCTTGCAACACGGCCGTAATGCGCATCCGAAACTGTACATGTTGCCGCATTCCGACCGCCTCCCTAATGACAAAATGCTGCACATAAACACATGGAAAAAAAAAACTGTACCACTACAACACGCCAGCCACGGTTGCTGTTCGCGCTGTGATATCGGACTCCCACCCCTAACCTTTCCTAGAACACCATGTTCCGTGCGTCCGGAGATAGCTTTAAAGTTGGTGAACAGGAGCAGCTCCAAATACAATCGGCGCACAAAGCAAGCATTCCACTGTTGTTGCGCCGCGCGTGTTGAAGCACTGCGTCCCGCGAAGGTAACACCCACGACAATCCATCTAACCGACGGAAAGGCACAAACGAACAAGAATGTTGAGAACGCCAACAACGAAAAACAAACAAAAACAAAACACCAGTAACACACTTGACCATCGCTGCGCGAAACCCACGATAACCCCTCAAAACAGAAGGTCCCAGCAGGGAGCCTGACCTGCTGATTGGGCTGCTGCCGGTGGTACAAACAAACAATAAGAGGCTTACGAACCGAGACCCTAACAAACGCCGTAAAGTTCTTAAATGAGATCCTCCGTTGTCCACACTCCTCTCGTCAAAAGCTGCAGACGAGCAAAATTGAAAACATAAGTGAAAGTAAGAAGCTCGCGTTCGGATGTACCAAGCACGGGAGATCGCGCTGCGAGAAACCGTGTCCATGATTGCCTGTCTCGGCCGGGAACACCAAAATGATAAAATGCCGTTCGCGCCATCCAGGCTGAAAAAACGATCATTTTTCGTGGAACAAAAAAAAAAAATGGAACGGAACACGCCCCACCGAAATCAAAGTCAACACAGCTGCCGCTCGCTGTTGTCACACGCACCACAAAATCGTTCGAAGCGTGCTCGTTGCTGCTGACCGGGGAAAGGTGGTATGCTATGCCAAAGCCGAAGCCCTCCCCTCCACCAACTGGACCACAACTCTTTACACGTCACTGCTATAGTTCAGAACCCCCGGTGAGGGGGGAGCGTCGCCGCGGCCGCCGCCGCCGCCACCGCCGCCATCACCCCTCTTCGGCGTTGCCGGAGCTCGCGCCTTCCTCAGGTAACCCCACGGTCGCGCCGGCGACGGCGGTACTACAGGTTTGCTCCCCTTCGCCCCCCGTGACGCCACCGTGGCGCCGTCCCCGCCGCCCGCCGACGGGAAGAACTTGCGGCTCCCTGTGCGTCGTTGCTCTTCGCCCCCCCCCCCCCCCCCCCCCCCCC